GCGGCGGCGGCGGCGGCGGCTGCAGGACGAGCCGAGAGGCTCAGCCATATTTGATGGTTTTGTTGCTCTGCTCGGGAGTTCTCGGGAGTAATTTAATGCCGAAGGTCGCTGCCTAGTGGAAATAATATAGTACGTCATTAATATGGCGCCAAAAGATTGGGTTCTCGATCTGTAGCGCGGAGGGCGGGAGGAGGGAGGCGGCAGCCGCCGAGCGCCGCGTTACTATCCCACCAGTAACTTGGGCATTGCCGGGGCGGGGGCCGGAGGAGGAGGAGAGGATGATTTTTGGATCCTGAGAATTGATCTGTGTTGGATCAGTAAGTTTCGTTATCATTATATTTTCCAGTTTTTTCGGGGGGGACTGAAGACTTAGAGCTTTTTTTTTCTTTTGAATTTGCGAAAAACATGCGGTTTCAGGTGAATCATCAATTCAACGCTTTCAGGAGCAGAAGCCCAGTTGAGTTCATAAAATTTGTTAAAAGCCAAAGTGCATTAGGCTGCATGAAAGTGGAACGCATAGTAGCAACTTGGTAGACAGATGGCAATGGCAGAACGCAGGTTCGCGTACTTATATGAATCCAGAGTGTGTGACCGTGTGTGTGTGTGTGTGTGTGTGTGTGTGTGTGTGTGGCAGGACTATATTTGTCCAAACATAGGTGTGAGTAGGTACATCTGTGTGTGGAGTGGCCGCAGCCCTGGCTCTTGTCACCGCGTCACCACATGTCCAAAATATTCATTGCATCAATTCAAGGGCAGTGAGCAGGGGGTGGAGGGACGGCTTGGCAGTTAGATTCTTCGAAAATGGGTTTCTAATGATCAGACCTTTTACTTATAGCGAGACGGTATAAAGTGTGAAACCCTTCATCGGTGAAACTGGGAAGTTGCCGTGGTAGAGCAAAGTACCGATTAATCATGAACTTAAAACGGATTGCAAATTGCAACCTTTGGCACCATCTGCGAATTGTGGGGGTGGGGTCTCTTGGCCTTGTTGCTGCCTTAAATGAACACGCAGTGTGCACCTCGGGACTGCAAGTTGCAAAGCCCTTCCCCGTGCACGTGTCTCGTGCCTGTGAGTGTGTGTTCGCGAGTTGGGGGCCGTTGTTCGGCGGCCAGCAGGCTTTCTGGGTTGCTCGGCGCTGCCTCGCAAATGCGGGAGAGGGATGGAATGTGGAATGCTGACCGGGGAACCGAATCCTGTCGGAACGGTCCCTTTCGCTGGAGAAATTCGATCCCTTCCACCTCCTTCCCGCTCCCCCGCCCGCCTTCGGGCAAGAGGCGGGGCCGAGGCCGCGGCTGCTGCTCAAAGTGGCGGAGCGCGGCGGCGGGAGGCAGGTGCACGGCACCGCCAGTGGGGGTGCCTCAACTTCCGCGGCGCTTAAATAGCGGCCTCGCTCCCCTCCCACCGGTAATAGGTGACCTGGCGGCCTAGGGCGGCGGGGAAGGGGCCGAGGAGCCGGGCGCGCGAGCCTCCGCGGCACGTGGGCAGGTGCTGGGTGGCCTCGGGGCCAACTTTTGGGGCCCGCCTCCCGCGCGAGCAGAGGCGGCCCCGCGCGGAAATGGGGTCGGGTGGCGGCCGC